AAATAAAGCAATTCTGAGCCCACCTAGTTGAAACAAAATATGAAATTCCATGTCCCAAGATGAAGATTATTCCTCTTATTTTGCTACTTGAAAATCCGTGCTCAGAGAAAGGGTTGAATCTTTTCCTTCATCCCACGAATCCTGGAAATAATTATTTAAATTTTTTTTTTTTTTAAGTTGATCAGTTGCATCCAGAGCGACTCCGGTGAACAGACCCCCCCTCCTCTCCGTTTTTTCTTCTTCTTTTTTTTACCCTTTTGTTTCCCTTCCACCGCAATGGTGTCGGCTTAGACAGTTAATTGGAGATCAAGCCGTCCTCTTCATGGCTGTGTTCTTCCGACCCTAACTTGTTGATGGCAGCCAGAGATCCTGCTTACGACGCCGGCTCAGTCTCAGCATAGCCTCTGCAGAGCTGTGAGCGGAGCCCTCCTCTGCTAGCCGAGACGCAGGGAGAGAGAAAAAAAGCAGAGCGGGGAGTCGGGGATGTTATTCTGTGCTTTTTGTTGCAGCCACTCACTGCTACAGAGTGGTGGCAGCCTGGCGTCGATCATCACTACTGTTTCTCTCTCTCTTTTTCTCTCCCACACTCACAAACACCCTCTCACTCTTTTGCTCAGTCACTTGCTCTCTGCCTCATACACACTGCTTGTGCACCTCAGTCTCCCTCCACCTCCCCCCTGCATACCCACTTCCCTCCTACTGGCTCGTCACCATCAGAATATTGATATCTTGAACGTGTTGCGGCAGCTTGCTGTTGAAATTAACCACAGCTGTAAATCTCAGCCTCGCCTTGCCGTTGTTCTGTATGTGCTATGTATGAAAGTATGCTGAAGACATAAACAAAATAACACCAAAGCAAAACGTAGGTCATAACATGTGGCTCTTGACAACATAAACTTCACGAGAGGGGGGGTGTGAGGTGTGCTGCATTCTGTTATCTGTTATCTCTGTACAGGAGTATGCTATAGCAATGCTAACATAGGACGTCTGGCTTATATACATAATTTACATATCCTGAGTGCAGTGCTGGCATGTGATGTATGGCCAGCTGCCCCGAAGTTAAATTAGGCTTCCAGCATGTAATAGGCTAGAACAAATACTTGTTTGAGAATGTGAAACAAAAACATTTCATATGCAGATCTTGTTTTTTTTTTGAAGAAGGCTTCATTTCAGCACCATTTTAGAGTGCAAAACAAAAAGAGATGTCGGTAGTTCAGTGCATAAAAATGCTGACTTTTCTTAATTATTTAATGTTGGTTGAGATGGGTGTGAGGGTAATTTCAATGAACTACATCTGAACCAGCCAAAGACTAGATATAAGAGGCATTAAGAAGAACATGTACTCAGGTGTTCAACTTTTGCACTTCAACACCTTTTATTCCACTCATGCATCATTTACTTAAACGTGACCTCAGATCGCTTGAGCCTGCCACACCCCTCTCTGATTTATACTTGTATATTACTCTGATTACCTTGCTGCAATGTATTTGATATGGATTTTAACTCTTGTTGCAACTGCTACAGGCAATAAATTGTACCTAATGAAAGCAAAGAATTACATTTCCTCTGTGTGCTTTGGCAGGAGATGATAGTGAAAGAGTTACTTGTACACATCTTATATCATTAGAATTAGAATTGATCTGGATTACTTTATGCATTTATACATCCTAATTCATTTCATGACAAGAGTTTCAAGACAAGACATGTATCTGGCTGGGACTTTCCAGGTTACTGGACCAGCATGCTGCTTTCATTCTCCACGCTCATTGTGGTAGACTGGGAGATGTAGAAAAAATGAGGGGGAAAAACTCTTAAATCTCAAGGGGCATGATGGGATTTTACTCCATTTGATGTGTGGTAGCTTCCCATTTCCAATTCAAGATGTCTTTTTTTTAAAAGAAAGAATGTGAAATTGAAAATGGACATTCAATTAAGTGAACTTGCTGAAACAATATCATAGTCAGTGATCATTTGACACTTGGAGCATACTTATTTTTCATAGAATTTTTCAATAATTGAGCGGACTAGTGGTTTTGTAGAAAAGGGATGTTCCTAAATCTGTCCTAAAGGAGATGGATAGAGACTCACGGGTATCATAAAAGATGCCGCAGAGAAACTGCCTTCATAATAAGCACCTGAAGAAGTGCTTTGGAAGCCTCTGGCGTGGAAATGAAATATAGGCTAGGCGTGAAGGAAATGGGATTGAGAGAGAAGGGGCTGGGCAGAGTAAAGCCCCACACAGCACTGCATCCAACCAGCACAAAATCACAGGGGATTAGTGCCGTTGGATCTCCCCGGCCCCTAACCATGTACACAACCCCCCAATGGGCAAAGGGCAGTGGGGGATGGGGCAGGTCAATGCCACCACCTTCCATGGTGTTGTGTCGCAGTTGATTGGAGCAGTATAGGGGGACGAACGGCCCTGAGACCAACTGTTTCTTTGCCTTTTCTCCATTGCCCTTTCCTGTTCATCTAATTTAGCTTTAATGTTATTATCCTCCAGTATCTGTCCATCTATCTGTCGCTCACCCTGTCTTTCTCTGCCTCTTTCTCTCCATCTCCACATCCTTCCTGAAAGTTTTAGATTTTCCAACATTTCGCTTGAGCAGTTTGCAGAATGTGACTGAACATGCTATCTGCTCAGTGGGACCAGTAGTTAGGGCTTTGACTGCTGCATAGTGCTTAGCGTCGTGACAACTGCCAATGGTGTTGCAGTATTAAGAGACATGATTTACACGGTAAGCCATGCGTAGTAAATTAAAACCTTTTAATCAACACCATTTTCTCATTTAATATGAGGAGATTAGAATATTATTTTTGAGTGTTATTGTAGATTACGAGTGGTCATGGAGTTTAACCTTTTTACAGATTGAGTGTTTTTTTATCGACAGAGAATTGAAAAATAGATACAAATGAAGAACTATCATTAGACTACTGCAACTCCCTCCTGGCTGGTCTACCTGCATGTGCCATCCGACCTCTGCAGCTCATCCAAAATGCAGCGGCTCGTCTGGTCTTCAACCTTCCTAAATGTTCCCACACCACACCGCTCCTCCGCTCCCTTCACTGGCTTCCAGTAACTGCTAGAATCCACTTCAAGACTCTGGTACTAGCGTACCATGCTGCGAATGGTTCTGGCCCTTCCTACATCCAGGACATGGTTAAACCATACAACCCAGCACGAGCACTCTGCTTTGCATCAGCCAAAAGGCTCGCTGCACCCGCACTGCGAGGGGGACCCAAGTTCCCATCAGCAAAAACACGTGGGTTTGCTATCCTGGCTCCAAAATGGTGGAATGAGCTCCCCATTGACATCAGGACAGCAGAAAGCTTACACATCTTCCGGCGCAGACTGAAAACTCATCTCTTTCGACTCCACTTCGAGCGATAGAATTACTAACAAAGCACTTGTATACTAATAAAGGACTGGCTTATCTAAAGCTAGTTGAGTAGCACTTGAAATGTTTTGGCTCTATGAAACCTGATGTACTTATGATTCTATCTTCTTGGGCGAATGCATTTATTGTAAGTCGCTTTGGATAAATGCAATGTAATGTAATTAGTAATCAAAAAACAGCTCTCACACAAGCCAAGACAGTCCTTGCTTTGTTGAGAACAGTGTTTACAAGTTTCCTACAATTGTTACAGATAATATAATTTAATTAATCAAAAAAAAAATACAACTGTCAGTGATATTGATCTATACAAATGGCTTCATACCACAGAAAATGCTTTTGGTCACACCAAGAAAAACCTTTTAAAATCAAGGATTCTTGAACCAAACCGTATTGGTCCCTTATCCTCTTTGGAATGATTACAGATTAAAATCTGCCAAAAAGAAATTCCTATACATTGAATATATTATTTAGTTTTTCACTGTGGTATAAAATAAATTACCGAGATCTGGAATTATACTGGTAAAGGTATCAACTTCAACATTTCTGGTATCATGACATTATAAAAGTTTAAATAAGGAGCAGACATAAGAATTAGTAATTAAAATAATGGAATCCGAGCTCTGTATCTATCTCATTAAGAAACTAAAGCCTGCATCACAGCTTGTCTTTACTGGATTACTGTGATATATTGTGTTCTGTACAATATGCATGTAGAGAGAGCTGTGGTGGCAGGAAGCTTGGGCAGGATTTGGATAGCCTCTTTTGATCCCTGCGTGAATGCAAATTAGAATTTAAATGCAGTTTACAACGGCAGCACTTAAGAGGGTGTGTTGCCTATGAATTATAGCGCTGATATAGATGCAAATCAGTGCTTTTTTTTTAACCAAAAGCAGCTGTGCCTTTTTACTGATGCATTGTTTAAGTGTGTGTATGTTATTTATTGAAACTCTTGGCCACTGTTTGTTTGTGTGCTCCAGTGTTCGCTCACAATGGCATCAGTTAGGAAATGATTCCAGTGTTTTAACAGAGGCAATGTGGCAGATTTGACAGCTGGACTAAACAATAGTTTCTAACAAATAAAAGGAACAGAAATGAATTAGGCTTTGCAGAACACTAGCTGCACTAAAATGTGAGTTCAAATCTCGCTGGAACTTTTTCCATTGAAAGGACTGAATAGAGGAATAAATAGATATATTTTCGTGTCTGGTAAATAACACATTACATCCTTCATGGGATTATTCATTTCAAAACAATGCAACAATTCTTGTATCAATACCCAAAAGCATTTAACAGCATTATGACTTGATCTTATGCAGTAACTTCTCAAAACAATATTCTTCTTTTTAAACATTTAAATACATTTTGAATTTGTCCTACTACCCTTGTACTTTTAAAAATGAACTAAAATCAATAAACTATGAACATTTTCTCAACTGTAAACTGAAGCTACACAATGTTTACCGAAATGTCCCTGTAAATTGAATTGGACCTTTAGCGTGATCACAATGTATTTCATTTGAGCATCCACAACAGATGTGTTTGGAACATTGCTCTCCCTGCACCATAGCCCTCTCTAATTTCTCTGCCATGTTTATGTTTCAGGCTGGAAGGAAGGACAGGAGTGATGCTCTGAACACAGCCATCGACAGGATGACAAAGAAGACCAGAGACCTTCGCAGACAGGTTTGTGCTGAAATGTTTTTTAAAAAAGCCTACTTCATATATACATTGTATCTATATTTTCGCTTATAAAGTTAAACATCTAGGAACGGTGTACAATGTAGTAGAAAAAAACAACTGCAAGTGTACATTTATTTCCCCCTATCACAAATGCATAGAGGCATATATTTCCTCAACAGTGCCCTTTTTATAAATATATATATTGTTTTACTTCACAGCTGCGTAAAGCTGTAATGGACCATGTCTCTGACTCTTTCCTGGAGACCAATGTTCCCCTGCTGGTCCTGATTGAAGCCGCCAAGAATGGCAATGAGAAAGAAGTCAAGGAGTATGCACAGGTGTTCCGCGAGCACGCCAACAAGCTGATCGAGGTAATGTCGAATTTGGAGTGCTTTCAGAAACAAAACCTCATGTGACCCAAATACAGATTATTCGTACTTTTTCTGTCCATCCTATTGTTTTTTAGACATTTTAGCTTATAGTAAACGTCAGTCTTCATCCAGCTTCTCTGTTCTGTCTTTATGACTTTTTCTCCGAAAGATTACCTCTTGATAAAACTGTAGGATTACGGCACAGCAAAAATCTATCTGGGATTGTTTTCCCAAATTGAAACAAAACAGGAAAATGTTTTCTGTGGTTTCTGTCACTTGTGTGTGTGACACACGGTGGAAGACACACACATTTACATAAAGGGGATGCGGACTCTAATATGATGCTGTGAGGATATAGTGAGCAAACAAGCAAAACAGATAAAGTGGTCATAGCAACAGATGACAGTTTAAAGCGGATCCAAACGAGGGAAATAACCACCACATAAGGATAGGGGCTCCCTCTGGGAAAATGTTGTCTTTGCCACAACAGGTTGATGTTCTGCTCATTGGACAACTCCACATGTGTGCTGTACTGATACCTACAAAGATAAATATCTTAAAAGGGGCCAGGTTCCTTCTGTTTACCCCCCCTTTCTGTGCTTGGTGTCATATCTCAAGACAGGGTCATGCTTTGGCATAGACCGGGATTTTAATGGCTCTTTTGCTGTAACCCAGCAACAATAACACAGACAATGGCAAAGTGTTGGACATGGTAAGCAACAAGCTTACGAAAACACGAGTAATCCTCAGTAGTGGTATTTCCTTCGTTTTCTGGAACACTTGTGTCAAAGCATATGTTGACATTTGAAAGTGACTTCTTCCCTCTGGCAGATGACCATGAGTGTAGCTGGAGCAGGGGGTGCAGTATAAACGTTCACTGGGGAAACCAGTGGAGCATTAGAGGGAAAAGGGGACCACACAGGGGAGCAGACCCTGAAGGCCTCGGTGTCAGAAGTGGCTTTAAAGCATGACATTAGTGGACTCCCATAATGCTCTGGCACTACATCTGCTTATAACACTTGGATGGGATAGACAAAGAAGCAGAGCTTTGATTGAAATGTTACATATGAATGTCATTAAATAGAGAATACAGTTTTTACATGTTTAAAGCAGTTTTTCTCACAGTGGACATAATATGGTGTTAATATAAGTGTAAGATAAAAGCTTCAAAAATATTTGTATGGCAATAAAGCAAAGTGTCTTAAATAGACCATTAAAAGTCAACAATAAAACAGAACGAATATGAAGTGTGGGAAAAACTACAACACAGTTATATTAATGAATGGCAGGGATAGTTATCATAATGTCTGTTGTTTTACCTGGCAAATCTCTTGGTCTATAAAATGGAACTAGCTTGATCTAATTAAAATATCCATCAGGTAAAGTATCTTTTGACACACATAAATTAGGAATGGTAGTTGCATATCCAACAAAGGACAAAGTGACACTGATCTCGGGCTGTTTATATGACATCACGAGTTGTGCATGTGCAGGCTGCCTTAGGGCAAATGGTCCATTAGATCACACACATTTGTTTGAAAGCAACATTATGACTGACCCACATTCATTTATAGGCCCCCTTTTAAGCAGCTCCTCTAACCTCATTATCACAATATTGTCTTTTTGAAATCTAGTGTTTTATATAATTAAATAAAGCATAATTTCAGGTCTTACTTTATGGGTTTCATTTACTTGATGTGTCAAAGCCTGCTGATACGCTTTGTGTATGCGATCAAACAACAGCCTGTAATTGTATGATGACAAAGTTCACTTCATCATACACTTTTAAAAGCATGATAACACTATAAATGTTTTTATTTGATGAGGAAGGGTAAATGAACTAAATAGGTTGAATTTAAATCATAAAAGAAAAACTTTGGTGGGGGAAGGTTGGTCAGTTATGTAATCTGTAAACAGGTTAACACGGGGGAACACAGGTAACAGTCACCACAGCAGCTAACCTAGTTGCAGCACTGAAGACCTTTGCTTTTGGGATTCGGTCTGAATTAACCCACATTGCATTCATAATATATTCAGTGTTATAAGGCTGTGTTAAAATGTCTCCACATCTGAAAGGTAACTATGGCAATACATGTTCATATTACCTGTTGCCAAATCCATTGGGTTTTTCTGTCCCATGTTACCAGGCATTTTTAAGCAGTAATATTCATCATCTTAAGAGCAGGGGGAGAAAATAGACTAAGCTTTGTGTGGTTGCCTCAAGGCTATGTTCTCAAAGGTTCCAGGGTACTCAGGAATATGTGCAGATTTAAGCACGGAGGTATATGTGCAGATTTAAGCACGGAGGTAGCAGAGGAAGAATGTAGCCGTGAAAAACAGCTGTAAATACTTTGCATCAGTAATGTCCACATATAATGTCTTTATTTGAGGCTTCAACCATGGATGTAGGTGACATTAGATAAGGGGTTGGTTAACATAAATGTAGTTGCTTTTAAATGACATGCCACTAAGAGTTATAGAGATTTACAACTTGACAAGTTGAGATGCAGAGATGCCTCTCTTGAGGTGGGACCAGTCATCCAATAGATTAGTGACATCAGCCTTGGAAAATCCCATAGTTTACTGTGGGAACCCTCTTTTTTTTAAAGCATTAGGCAATCTTACATTTCTCATTTCTTTATTAACTGTATGGTGAATAACTCAATGTTCAAGCCTAATGCCTTAAGATGCATTATTTAAACAATGGAAGATATTTTTGATTTAAAAATAATAAGAAAAATTAAACATGTCAGTATTTTAGCATGAACACTTAAATGATACACAAGAGTATGGAACATGGGATTTATTGCGATTGTTTTTTTACCACGGTATTGAACTGGTGCTGGTATTTGGATCAAATTATTGTTATTTCTGTTGGGGAACAAAAAGTAAGCTTTTAGGGAGGTGCATTTTAAAAGAAATGATTGCACAGACTTGGTAAACTCTGACGTCCCCTGACACTCAGAATGGTATGGTTACAGCATGCTAAGTGGAAAAACATTACTTTACTTGAGGGTAAAACATTCTTATTTGGCTTCAAGCAACGTCCCTTTATACTGAAATGTCTTCGTCCCAGTGGTATCGTGGTGAGAGCAAGAAAAAGCTTATGTGAAAGATCATGAAAGTAAAAACACAGGTCTCTCCATAAAGTGGCAGTTTTTCTTCATGTAAGCGCTCTCTCACCCAGCCTCTCGGGTTACTGAATGTTCTCTCTGTGGTCCCTGCATGGGTTTGCATAGTGATGGAGGATGTGTTTATATCAATGTTTCAGTGCGTCACCAGCACTGTGGTATAAGTGTCTCATCAGGAAAACTGCTCAGGAATCTTTCAGGTGGTAGTGGACATGTTCATGTGGAATGGAAGACGATGAGGAGAGGATCCTTCACACTCTCATTCACTCTGCCACTCCTGCAGCCAGTTATGCTTCCAGTTATGCTTCCACCGCCAAAGCTTTAATGGATTTCTTTAACAACCAGTCTTATTATTATAGATTTGCCCCACATTTCTATGAGTTTATAATAGCATTTCATCTACCAGACCCCAGGCCCAAGGGGAGTTTATTACGGCCAACATGAGCAATCAAAAAAATCACACAGGTAAAGAATAAGCCATTTTGTAATTGCAAATGTTAAAATGAATACACCAGCTGTGCATTATTAACATTATTGTCACCATGATTTAGCGTCATCGATTGGAACTGACATAGCTTTGAAGGCATGTAGTGCTAAAATGCAGTGTCTCATAACTGTTTCACTCAGATTTATAATATGGAGGTAAAACCACGGCTCATTTTGCCGTGTGACCCAGATCTGGGTAATTACATTGTGGAGTAAAATATAACGGATTGATGGCTGAAAGTACAAAAATAGGACACAGGTTGTTAGAAAAAACCCCATTTCAGTTCTTGTTCCTGCTGTAGTACAATCAGGAGCCGTTTTTTTCCTTCTGTAATTGATTGTGTTTCAACACATTTTCTGTCCTTTTGATAATCCTGCTTTGGCACAGTTCCATCACATCCCAGTCATTCTGTTTCAGCATTGTTGCCGGCACATCTCAACCAACAAATGGGAAGAGTCAGACTCTGACCTAATTTTTTGTGAATATGATTAGATACATTATGTTGTTCTGGAAAATGCAAGAATATTGAAAAATAATTGTGCCAGAGCATGATTTGTTGGTCTATACAAGAAAATATACTCACAAACCATTAATATTGGCAGCCGAGAGGAAGACTTGCTTAGCTCAGCACTCCAGGTCTCACTGTTTTTTTGAAAGTGTCAGGAATATTTGCCTCTCTGAACCAGGAGTGTAATGGCAATGTGGCAGCCGTGTGATTTAGTCACGGAGTACCCTCGTCTGCGAGTCCCACAGCTACAACTCGCATTTACATTTTGGGAAATCTAAAGTTTTTTTTGGGAAAAAATATAAAACTTGTATTTTATCTACTCATTCAACATCTTTTGTTTTCACTCCTGCTTCTTCCCTTCTCCCTCAGTGCTATGTTTGTATTATTTTAGCAGCTTTATGAGTTCATCCTCCGCAGTGGGTTTGTATTCCACAGGGATGGATTGTGTTGCAGAGCTGCTCCATTTCTGATACATTCATTATGGTAGCCTGGGTTTGGGATTCCTCTCCAAGTTTAATTATACTTTCTTTGTTTCTCAAAATAAGACTGTCAGTGTCCCTGTGTGTGGCTAACATGTAGATGTGTGTGTTTCTTGTTTTAGGTGGCCAACCTGGCATGCTCCATCTCCAACAATGAAGAGGGAGTGAAGCTGGTCCGCATGGCAGCATCTCAGCTGGAAGCTCTCTGCCCACAGGTACCGTATCTGTTTTTGCCTGCAACTTACGCCAAGCTCATTGATTGTGCACCTGTTCCACATTGTCTTTTTAATAATAGCACAAGGATCTGCCAATATATTTGATTAGTTTATACAGGTAGTGGAGTCAATAATTAAAGACTATAATTCAAATTGCAGCGATAACGATTCAAATCTAATTTTTTTAAGACTCCAAATGTGCAGGCCTGCTTAAATGTTTCATAACCAGATACAAATAATATTAGTTTAAATAATAGGTCTAGTTTTCTTGCAATTTTTTGAATCTGGTTGTTACAAATACAATGCAGTCTAATTTCTTTCAGTGTTGTGATCCTGCATTTGTGCTAGAAAAGGTGGTGGAGAGAAATGGACACAACACTGTGAGTGGGTGTTGTCCTACTGCCCACAGTGTATTCATTTAACAATGATTAAATAGAATAAAATATGGAAAATAGTCACAAACCTGCCACATTAAAAAGTGGCATAGCTAGAGGTAATGACACAATCCCACGCTGGTTTCCCACCTGATTTTTGTTGTTAGTTGGATCATACAACCATGCCAAATCGAATTGCTACCTGGCATTGAATTCCACGTCTCTGTGCTGGGGAACTAGACATTCTCCCTGATACGGAGAGGTACTGTGCACAAATAGGAACACAATACTTACATAACATATATCAATATAGGCCATTTATTTTCATATGAAGATGTGCATTTGTTTACATGGATCAACACACTTTGTAAAACTGTGAAACAAATGCAAACAAGAACAAAACAGTAATAAGACTAGGGCTGCAAGTAGTGATTATTTTCATGTCTGTACACCTTTCTGTTGTTTTCTCAAATTATTGATTAATTGTTGAAAAATCTTGGTCACTGTGCCAAAGCCCGAGATGACTTCCATTTTTGCTAACAACTCAAATCCATTCAGTTTGCTTTCATAGAGGCGTGAATAAACTATATTCACATTATATGATGCTGCAATCAGAGCATCTTTACCCTTTAAAAAAAAAAAAGTAAGATAACCGATTAATGCATTATCAAAAGGTTGCCAATTAACTCAGTATTTAACAACTAATCAATGAATCTTTGCAGCTCTAATCAAAGCTGGAAATGTTTTGATTCCACTCTGGTTTGTAATTTCACAAAAGATGAAAAAAAATCAATACCTCAAGTCTTTTCCATCGGTCTACTATTAAGCCCATCTTTTCAAACCCCTTACCATTTGAGCTAGCAGTCTCTCATGTGTGCCCCTGCCATCTCTCCATGGTGCTGCGACTGCTCCCCTTAATATCATCTAATGAGTCCCATTCATCCTGAGCTTTGATATCCACAGATGTTTCTTCTCCCAAAACAAGCAGCTATTAGTTTATTTCATTCACTCGTTCAAAACCCTCAGTGTCTCTAATCACTCCCAGGAATGACTTGGCTTCATGCTGCAGTCCCAACATTTGGGTGGCAGAGTGGGGGGGCTTCACGCAATCAACCTATGCTAATGTTTTGCTGAGAGCTATGCTGTAATGGAGCTTTAATGGCTGTAATTGGGTGATTACAGGTGATTAATGCAGCGTTAGCCCTCGCTGCCAAGCCCAACAGTAAGGTGGCCATGGACAATATGGATCTGTTCAAGGAGCAGTGGGAGAAGCAGGTCCGCGTCCTCACCGATGCTGTTGATGACATCACATCCATTGATGACTTCCTCTGTGTGTCAGGTGAGTGGTACTCTTGTGCCATGTTGGAGCATCATCCATTTTCTTACTGTCTTAAAAGATCAGTGATTATTTGTGATCTACTTTCAATGTAAAAGCAGACACTGTTGATTTGTTGACTGTGCTTTCCAGTCAGATTGAAGATGGATATGCACAAAGCACTTTAGACCATTATGAAGAGGAGGTAAATAGCTGTAAAGTATCCATGGTATTAGTCTTTTCTGATGAGAGCTATGCAGACAGAGGCTGATTGGGCTGTACAGAGGAAAGCACTGAAGCATCAGCAGCACTACGTCTGAAATTGACATCCTGTCACGTGTGTTAAAGCACACAAATGGTTTGTCGGGCATACCCTTAAAGAGTTCTCGTTAAGCATTAAGCAGAGTGACTTCTCTCACCTCCAGCCAAGGACGGACTGTAATTTACACAGTGGACATTTGCATTTTACAGGCTCAGCCCCATTAATAAGCAGTCAAAGAATTTGTCTTCAGCCCTACACATCCTGTACCGGAGCTTCCCTCTTAATTTGAGGATGAGGATGAAGGCTGAGGGTTTCCTGACAATATGTGTTTTCTCAATATTCCTCACGTGTTTCATACTTCATTAAAGCACGCGTTTCTACTCTTTTCCATTTTGCACTATTTTAATTGTGTTGTTATTTTTATAAATGGTCTTTTATGTCCCATATATATATATTGCATTGTTTAAGGAGCTCGGGACTTGAGATTTACATTGCCATAACTACACTGTAGCTGCTGTGCATATGACAATGAAGCCTTTGAAATTGAATTGAGTCTTGATGAAAAAAAGGAAAGAAAATACCATTTCAAGTTAACCTCCTCACTTATGTATTTGCACACAAACAGGCTGATGTCATGTTTGGATGAAAGTGTTTGAGTAATACAAAGCATATACGCTGCTAAGTACAACACCGTTTTATGTCCCCAGAGAACCACATCCTGGAGGACGTGAATAAGTGTGTCATCGCTCTGCAGGAGAAAGATGTGGATGGTTTGGATCGAACTGCTGGGGCCATCCGCGGCCGCGCTGCCAGAGTCGTCCATGTGGTCACTTCTGAAATGGATAATTATGAACCTGGAATCTACACAGAGAAGGTCTTGGAGGCCACCAAGCTCCTCACTAACCAAGGTAACACAGAAACTGCATTATGTCATGAGCCAGAAAATAGTTATGCTTATTTCTGCCATAAGACTGCATTTACAAACATTGAAATAATTAGGATTATTCATATGATTAATATGTCATCATTCGCTTGGATACACCAGGAATGACTTCTCTAGGTCTTAAATTATTGTAGCATGTTTCCCTATTCTCAAAAGGTTGGTGACCCCTGAAATATAATAACTTGGACTGAGAGCTACCTGAATAATAATATAGATCGCAACAAGCGTGTTTCCCCAGTTTCAAACCCCAGGCGCTCTTGTGAAAACAGCCTGTTAGAGCGCTTTGGAGGCGCAGAGTTTTATCTGCTGATACGGTCTGGTTGCTATGATACGAAATATAAGCCAAAGTAAAAATGTCTACATATGGTGGAGTATTTGCTGTGGCTTTTGCTCTGGATAAAGGGAAGGCTGATGCACGTATAGTGAGGTGCATTCAAAAGGGAAAAGCTGTGTTCATGAAGCGACATTCCGTAAAAAAGAATGCAATGGCTGCTCCAGAGATACCAGTCCGACTAGAAAGAGGCTAAACATGATTGCCTCTTTTCTTATGTGTCCTTACCTCGTCAGTAAGTAGAACATGCCAACCCTCTTTGAGTTTTATGCTAAATGTTGATCATCTGAACCTTCTAATCATGCGAGGGATGTGTTACTTTGTCCATTTCATGCCTGATATTGTGTTTTAAACAAAACCACGCCCTGATATATCCCCTAAGTTATTTCTCGAAGAGCTATTTACCTTTTCTGTGAATGCTGTCTGAACTTTGAATGTTACTGGCATTTCTATCCTCCAGAATTCCCTTGGAAAGCTGCATTTTCTGTGAAGTGAAGTTGAGCGTTTTTTTCTGCCCTTCCTGTATTTATTATTTTTGCTGCATTGTTAGATCCAGCCAGCTCTCACTCAACTGGCACTACTGATTTGCAAAGCCGGCACTATGTAGTTGTCAGATTCCTCGACGATCTAAAGTTGTATTGTAGGAGTTGTTTTTGTCCATATTCTGTTCTTTTTCATTATCAGCCAGTGTGCGAGTTGTTAGCTTCCATCACGAGCAAGCTAACAAGACGGCAGAACAATTTGTCGGGTGTCAGATCTGGAAACTGTTCTTAAGTGTGTGCCTATTAAAAAAAATCAGGATATTCAGGCTGTAGCTGAATATGGATTGTTTATGTTGGAGACATTGGCTGTCGTTAGACTTTTTGTCAGATTTCATGATGTCAGCTCCAAAATAAAGTGATGGAATTCAGGTTCAAACTCGCTCTTTAATGTCACATTTCTGCTCTGACATGAACTGACAACCATGTGACAAATAAAGGCAGGTATTTGAGCATTATACCAGGCACGGATTTAAAGTTTTCATCGGTATACGTGCGGGAAAGTTTTCAAAAGTTGAATTGCATCAGTATGTGTGTCATTTCATGAGTTTGAATGCATTTTTCCTTTAATATCAAAATGGTTGTAATTATTCATATCGTCCTTTCAAAAAGCTAATGATGACAAAAAAAAAATCTGCAATCTTTGTCCTAACAACTGAATACAAAGTATTGATTGCAATGGAAAAATGCAGGGCATCTATTTGACAAACATTGTGTGTGCTAGTGTTGAATAATATGTGATGGATTTGGTAATAGGATTGTGCCACGGAGAGAGAAAGAAGAAAGCCCTGGAGTTCATTACCTTTACAATTGACAAGAATGTCAATGCCTTGTTGCTATTTTTTCTCTTTGAATGTGGAATAATTTGAAATCATCAGTGATGGGGAAGTGATCGCTTTGACTGAACCATCGCAGTACTACCAGATTTTCAATTTTTATTTGAATATAATATCTACATAGAAGCCTTCAGGTTATAAACGCTCTGAAGCACAAACCCAAATCCTCTTTTTTCCCCGTTGCCTCTGCTGGCTCTCTGCATCCACGTCTACACACTGACATCAATGCTTCTCCCATGAAGTCCCAGCCCAATCCCAAATTGTGAATTTGAAATGCTATGAACGCATATGTTCTAGGTAGCCTTTTGGAGCTCTTATTATATAGTCAATGGGGCAAAGTACAAGCCTACTGGGAGAGCTATCTGAATTATTTTCTTTAAAACTCTGTTATGCAAATTCTGAATCTATTCCCCTGAGCCTTTTGTTCCCATATAAAGCAAGAAGGCAGTAAGTAAGTCACCCAACAAAATACACCCTTTTGAATTCATCATTAAAAGGCCACTATCTTCGCTGGCACACTAAAACTCAACCTCGCCTTGCTTTGATTTTCTTTTAAAGCGATCATATATGATATCTAATATTATTTCCTCACTAGACTGATGTTGCTAATTGTTTATGTCAGGTAGCTTTTGATAACCTGCTTTCTCAGGAGGATTGTATTAAGTATGGATAGTGAGGAAGCTGAGCAGAGGCACGCTGCTTAAAACAATTCTCACCTCAGTGCTAAAGCTTTCACATTGGCTTGTTTTGGAGGGGGTGGCTGGACAGTTGGTTTTGACCATACTTGGCTCTGTTTTTGTTTATTTTCTACTTTTTATATTCTTGTGGTTAAACACTTGTCCTCCCTCCCAAGGTGTCTGTGTGTTCTGTTATTTTAGGCTGTGCTTTCTTTGGTTATAAACCTTCCTGTGTTTTTTGGAGCGAATCTTCATCAATATTGTTTTCTTTCCCTTCTTCCTCCCGACCTTCGTGTCACCTTCGGCAGTAATGCCGCGGTTCACAGAGCAAGTGGAGTCTGCGGTGGAGGCCTTGAGTGCAAACCCCACTCTACCTGTGGATGAGAACGAGTTCATCGACGCGTCCCGTCTGGTTTATGATGGAATCCGCGACATTCGCAAGGCTGTGCTCATGATCAGAGTAAGTTGCACTGATTGTTTTCCGTTGGTTTTTAAGATTTATTTGTATTATCTTCCCCCTGTTGTGTATAACATCTGGATATAGCAAGAGGCAACTTTGACCTTTTCTCCACTAGAAGATGGACAGAGTTGAAACTGTCAGAAGTAAATAAAGACTGTTCCACCTTATAACATGTATAGAGCAATCTGCCTTTGGACACATTAAGAAGCTGTAACTCTTGAAAACCACATAAGTCCTGTTTAACGGTTCAATCAACGGTACTCATTTAATGATTACTATCTATTCAGGATTTTGTAGATAATAACATAAACATAGTAAGAGAAAATGTAATTACAAATAAAAGAAAGCAAACATTAAGAAACATTAATATACAATAAAATAAGCTACATTTAAAAGAATGATAAATACTATTCCAAATAAACACAAAAGCATTTACAAACATCATTAAATATAAATATTGGACTGAACAAACTAAAATAGAAATGAATGCGCTCTGCTGTTACACATAGATATAAATACATACACATAGTTCTGTGGACCAGATGCTCTTTTTAATGGTATGAGAGAAACTGTATGTGCGTGCAGCAGCCAATGATTAACTTGTCTCATGCAAGAGCATACCTAATTGACCAGTCTTGCAATCTAGTGCAACGACAGCCTTAGTTGTCTGCGGGTTAATGGCCTTTGCTTGAAGGGAACTATAACTGAGACAGATGGTAGTTGGGTACCTAATTGACTGACAATGAGCTAACAACAAAACCCACTCCAGTTATAAAAAGAAATGGATAGTTCTTAAAGCTTTATAGTATAACTAGTTTGACTACTCAATACAATTAGATCCGGTATATGTTGAAAAGTAAGTGGATTTGTTTTAACTGCATCTAATGTGTCCAGCACCTAATTAGCTATTTACTTCGGTGAAATATAATGTGCTGCTTGGTTGTATTATGCCATCTTCCATTATTTTCAACACTTTCATCTTTTGAATTGGAATCATTAGTCTTGACAGCACATTTTCTGTTGACAATGGTTCTCAAAACGGTGCCCGGGCAACCATGAATAATGCTGCTCAGACAGACAAAACCAAAGGAGAGGGGGACCATTATGCTGTATTTGCATTATAATAAGCAATTGATTTAAGATGGAGGTTTTAATTAGCATTCTTGAGTTGGACTGCAAGGCAGAGAACTACATTCACTTTCCCTCTGCCCCGGCTCCTCTCTTGTTATCCAGATTGATTAAGCTGTTAACATTGGGCCTGTGGGGCGGGCTGAGCTCAACCTGGTGGGTAGGAGTGTGTATGTGTGTGAGTGCAGGTGTGCATGTGTGTTAAAAATCTCAGAGGATTTCCCAAAAATCTTGCTTACTTCGAATTAGGGTTGCAAAGGGGCGGAACATTTCCGGTACATTTCCGGTACATTTCCATGGGAAGTTAAGCTGGGGAATTTTAGAAATATTCCATATTGGAAACTTTCCATGGGAATTAATGGGAACTAACTGGGAATTGAGGGTAATGTAATCGAATTGTATCGTATCCAAGCATAAATATAAACATTTTGTTTTGTCATAAGAAAACATCCATGCAAAATTATACAATTAAAAAAACATGACATTTCAACAGATTTATTTGTAAGTAGAACAGAACAAGTTTTAATTATTTTATTGAACAATCATTTGTTTCATTGAAGAACAAAAACATGAATGTTGAGTTAAATATTACTTCTAGAAATCATCTGTGCATGTGATGGAGGAATGCACAGTGCCTGTAGGGGGTGTGGTCTCAATAGCCATGTAGTAAGCAGTGTGCTATATAGATGTGATTGAGGAATGGCATGGATATTCAAGTGTACTTGAATGGCATCTGTTTGTTTTAGTCAAGATTATGTTAAAATATACTTTCCCCAACTATATTTAAGTTCCCTATGAAGAGCCAACCTTCAATTTAGAAAATTCCCAGTTTATTCCCGTTTATTCCCTTAAATTCCCGTTAATTCCCATGGAAAGTTTCCATCTTTGAAAATTCCCGGAATTTTGTAACCCTACTTAGAATTCATCCGTGAGATACATTCTGACATTCTTTGCTGAGCAAGAGATAGTGATGAGACTCAACTCAAACTTAAGCCACTATCTTAAAAGAAAAACGATGCAGTTCCCCATGGGTTTGCCATGGTTTCTTGATCAGGTGTGTGAGGTAATTATCCCAGATTGTGGTGTTTATTCAGAAGGAAGGGCCTCAGATGATCAGCTGGATAGTTGTGAACTTTGCTGCAGCATCTGCACAGAAGTCCACTTATGGCACATTTCCACTACACGGTCGGCCTCGGCCACGCTCGGTACGGCTCGGTACGGCTTGGCCTTAACAGGGCCGACTCACTTCATGCTGCGCTTCCATTACAGTTTAGGAACTGGGGTAGTTACTATAGTAACGCAGTGTAGGCGGAGCCGTGACGTCATCTTCAATGAGAACTCCAGAAACACAACACAGCCGTTAGCTGTTAGCACTCAGAGCTCACAGCTCCTTATATATGCTCAGAAACTAGACAAAAGTTAAACAAGTACACACCACAGACTGCCTGTGTCATGGTGAATACAGTCGCTGCTTTATTTATGTCTGTATAGGCCGTTGTTGTGAGTGTGGACGGTCGGAGCATATACTGCGTTAGCTTAGCCAATCTCCATTTGGAAAACACGCATTTTAAAAGGTTTTTCGCCTGCCGTCTGTCTGCAGACTTGACAAAGCATTAATTCATGGTTTTTACTAACCGGTATCAGTATGTTGTTACTTCGGCATCATTTTGAAACGTGTATTACTATTAAATCACGGTCAAATATGTCCATCTTGTTGTAGTTGTAGCCCCCTTGCCAGCGCTCCTCTCTCTAGTTTAGCATACTCAGCCCGCCCTGTTTGTTGGCCCCGATAGAACCACAATTTTCTCGGGCCAGAAAAGACGTGAAAAAGTGGCCCCGGGCCGGAACTAGGCCTAGTGGAAGCGCAACCAAAAACGGGAACGGCACGACACGGCACGCTTAAAGCGAGCTCCGCGCTGTAGTGGAACTGCGCCATTACACTCTCCTATCTGCTGTTGTTTGTAATGAAGTTGGGCAAGTGTAGCAAAAACCATGATTCCTCTCGAGAAGAACCCTTTCCCGGCTGAACTACCCTTCAGTGGCAAAGTTTATAGATGAAACTCGGCATGTTTCACTCTGAAATATGATATATCTTTATATGAAATATCACAAATCAGCTGAGTTTAGCACTACAAGGCAACTTCTGTAGAGGGCATGTCCACACACACAATTGCACATTCGCTCTCTAGCCATCTCACTATAAAGCTCACATGCACGCGCGGCACAGTGGCCCACTCTTAAATCAGAGCAGACAGTTGTGTGGTTGGGGCTACTTAAGATGGACAAGTCTTTAACCTCTGTAAGTGGCGCCCAGGCGGTCCATGTTGGCCGTCCCCTGGATATGTGACAGGCGGACAGAGCCCTCTCCCCACCTACAGCGACATCAGAGAATATGCCTCCCAGACATCTAACTGTCTCAAAGTCAGGGAGCCGCTGACAGCGAGATGCGGGGGGGCAGCTGTCGCTACCTTATGATTTGTGCTGTGCATCACAGCCCAAGGTGAATTTTCTGGCTCAGTCCTTAAAAAGAAACCTGCTCCTATCACAGAGGCTACCAGAAGAATGTCACAAAAAGAATTGTAATAGGCATTTTGACTGTTGAAGTGTCCCGTTCACATCAGTAAGCAGATATGAAAGGAAATACTAGAGCCTTCTTTCAAGGGCTGTCGCAATGCTGTTATTTCAGAACATTTCTCTTCTTCTCTATTACACTTCAGAAACAGGTGGAAATGAATATTTCAGCTTGCAGGCAGACAGTGGAGGGTCTGAACATTCCAAAATTAAATATTGATTAGTGTTTAGCCACAACATGAAAAATAGTATAATTTAATTTGCTTCACCAGCAGTGCTACCTTTTCATAACCCCTTTTAATTAAAACGGTAGCCTATTGTTGTCAAATCTCTCCAGTAGTGTCCCATCGGGTGCTCACTATGAGCTATCGTTTCTGAGCCTCCCACATTCACAGGTTATCTGTTGCACAGGCCACAGCAGGTGATATCTGCGCCCCACTGAGCAGCATTGTCTGGGTTGAAAGAGATGCCTATGAGTCACAGTTACAGCTTTGTATCCGAAACCCATAGCCCCATTCCCCTGAGAACAAGAGCATCTCTACATTTCATAAAGCAGTGTAAGGTTGTTCAGAGACCTTTAGCTATTTTTAGACGTGGGGGCTCCAAATCCATTACAGAAGGGAGGTATTGAGACAGCTGGATAAGCACAAGTAGCGGCACAGGCGTGATAATGCACCTTTATCTGTCCACATCATCTTCCCTGGGCCCGTATCACCACCAAATACATTTCCCTGTCAATCAGCATTGTATTTTGCCTCAAGCATGACCTGTCGAGATAGAAATCCTTGTGAATATTAATATTTATGGGGGAAAAGCTTGCTGGTGGCTTGTTTTGCATTCAAAGCTGGGGCAGAGGTGAAGGATCAGAGATGAAGTAGCAACACTCTTGAAGAACGGCTCATGCCTCACACGCCTTTCCACAGAGAGCAGCGACAGATGGGACTCGGATGTATTTTGCCCCCAATATGTTTCATACCAGCTTGTACCTTCATTTTCTCTCTCAAAATGCACATGCTGCACATCACACTTGATTTACAAATTCATTTAGAGTTTATGGTTTCTTGTACCGAGCTATGGGGAAGAAAACATTTATTTGATGCTGCCCTTGCTGCAGCGTCAAGGCATTTCTCTTAGATGGTAACCAGGTTGGTTATTTGATAGTGCTCAAAAGGCTGTAGTGTGCCAATATCTTTGTATGTTCTCCCCTAAAAACGATCTGCTTTTACTGACCTTTCCCTCTTGTTTCTTCTCTTCTCCTTCCCCCCCCCCCTCTCCTCTCTCTGTTGATCCATTACAGACTCCAGAGGAGCTGGACGACTCTGACTTTGAGACTGAAGACTTTGATGCTCGCAGCAGGACCAGCGTGCAGACGGAGGATGACCAGCTTATTGCCGGCCAGAGTGCACGGGTAAGATGTCCATCACTTCTTGTGGTATTAACAGACATTAATTGCTCTTATCTCCTGCCTCTAAAATCGTACGCTTTCAAATAGCATCAATAATACCTGATTAGAACGTAACTACATATGTGAAGAAGAAAAAAACACCCATACATTTGATTTGAATTTACTAATGAACCATAGATGTACTCTCTCTCTTGCAAATGTAATAGTAAAGTAGTAAATTAATATAGCTCGTTTAGATTAGAGGAAATATGTAATGACTCGCTTAGTACATAAAAATATAGTTCAGAATACTATAATCACAGAAACAATTTATCACCAGGCTGTAGTTTTAGAAAATAATTGTACACATTTAGAAAATGAGTAACACCGTTTATTGAGGGTCGTTGTACCGTCATGTGAGCGCTTTCAGAGCCTCTGTTGTTCTCTAAAACACTCCACCCTCATACTTGCTGTTAATTACGCACAGTTGGCTTAACGCCACCATAACTAAAGTTTTCCCTCATACAGCTCTCGTTTACCACCACCTCCGTTATGTGGAAAACAGTTGCTACCCACAACTCACTGAAGTAAATCAAGACTTCAAAAGATCCAACTCCAATCTTGTTGTTGTTGGAACCAGTCAATTTCTGTTGCTGGTTGAATGTTGAGGTTACATTTTTCCGCAGCCTACCTCATAACAATACAAATTCATTCTGTTGTTGTTTGCCCTCTTTATAAAAGCTGGGGAAATAAAGTGTTTACAAAATAAAGAGTAATGAATTAATCTCAAAATTCCCTAATGGTGGAGCGATCCCTCAGTACATTTCCATTCTGTTTGTTTTGTTCTCCAAAGCTTATCCGGATGTTTTTTTAGGTGTGGGCTTTTCATCTTTGCTCTGCCCTGAACAGCTTTGTATAAGCTTAGGTGACTCTAGAGAGAGACTCCCATTTACCAGTAATGGAATGAACGCTCACGCCATGATATTCGATTTCCTGCTCTTAAGTGTCTGCCCACTTCGGCCTCACAAGCTCATTCATTGAATGTCTGATTGCCTGTTTGGAAACTGCCCTTTAACCGTCAAGCCCAAGAGGATTGATAGAAATGGCGCTAAACACATTTGCACATGATATTAAGTACCGCTAAACAAATGCCCTTATATTGATCTCCTTCTCTGGCCAGCAGGGCAAGGAGTTCAATAGATGTATATTTTTCCAGAAGCTGTCACGTAATATTACTTAGTGGCTGTGAACCTCCTTTTGAACCCAGAACAAATCCCCACTTAACCTGGGCCAATCAGGGAAATGTCTATTTGAGAGCATTGGTGATGACATTTATTTACAGAAAAGAGACAGCAATTTATGAGGTCATTTTTTTTGTCTTAAGATGCAAACATGCCAAAAACAAGAGACATACGCTACACCTTTTTCATGTGCACCAATTAAGTTGAATGCAGCCCAATTCAACAGCTGAGCTATTCGTTCTGCATTTACAAATACAATGAAGTATTATCACAATTTCACCAAACCGTCGATCTACTAAGTTATATGGGAACAGTATGCCGGCTCTACACAATGCAAAATAGATAAATAACTCTTTACTTTTCACTTGTTCTTGGGCAACTGCACAAATAATTTAATTGCCTGATTTAAGCAAGTGTAAAAATGTAAGAATAGTAGTGTAGTGCACCATTGTGTCACAGCACCATGCTCTTCCCTGGCAAGAAAACACGTGTGCATCCATGGAAACCATAGGAGATGATGTAGAACAAAATGCCCCGGAGACAGCAATGGCCTCCCTAACAGTATGTTAGTATGCTAACCCTTTCCGCTTCCCATAATTCCTCCTCCAGGCTGTCATGGCCCAGTTGCCCCAGGAGCAGCGAGCGCAGATTGCCGAACAGGTGGCTAGCTTCCAGGAAGAGAAGAGCAAGCTGGACGCCGAGGTGTCCAAGTGGGATGACAACGGAAACGACATCATTGTGTTGGCTAAGCAGATGTGCATGGTCATGATGGAGATGACAGACTTCACCAGGTGAGTGTGGACAAACAAGCTTGGCTCACACCCAGGGCCTTTTTTTCTCTCTCCTAGCGGCTGATGGCCCATTTTTATTAATTGTAGATATTTGTCCTGGCCTCAGCAGACATCCGAATGAGTGGTTTGTGTTATGGCTGCACATTTGTTTACATATGTCATCCCACAGTCCTCACATTAATATTCCAATAGTAGTGCAATTCAAGCAGAATGCCTCCAGGACAAAATGCATGTTTAACTTAAGCCAAATACAATCACCCTGTAAGCCTACATTTTTTTTTCCCAACATTCGCCCGTATCTCAATATTAATGCACCCAGTTTAACACTACTGTTCATGCATCAACGCTCTTCATTTTCCCTAAGCAGCACTGTAGGTAGAATTTTCATTTCTTGATTATTTTCCCTTCCTCCCCTAATCTTAATATGCACAACCATAAGCAGTGCATCAAATCTCTCTCTCTCTCTGGTACACAAATAAAGCCGGTGTGCACTGTAAATCTCACTCTGCAGAGCTGCTATAGGGTAGCCATATTCCCCCCTTCAATGGTTTGTTGGGACAATAAACATAGTAGAGAAATGAGTAAAAACAAAAACATCTTAGAAATCAGGATTTGCCAGATTGCTAAATTACATTTTGCAGTTATTACATTTTCTCTGCCTCTACTTGTGTAACGGTGTTTGAATCTGTGGTTACAAGCAACTTTCAAACGTTTCGTATTTCAGAAGTATTGATTTAGCAGAAATGCAGTTTGTTTGGCAACTCTTGCTAGTTTAACCAACTACTTGAGAGAGATGAAAAATGTATTTCTTAATCAACATCAAGGATCCAAATAAAAATGAAAGCATGGAGCCACCACCGAAATAAAAACAGAATATTAGAAGCGATGTTTAACTCCAAAATGAATCAATACTCTTGCTCAGACAACATTTATGTAATTTCTTCTCATCTTGCTAAATGTTTTCTTCAAGAATCCTGCAGCAAAATCACAACAAGAAAGAAGAACTGATATGATTATAAACTGCATGTTATTTATTTTTATTAATTTAGAATTTTATATTGAGTAGTTATGTAATTGTGTAAATGTATAAATTACATCAGAATTCATCCCTAGGTGTGGTTCTATTAAGACTTTCTGATGAGCCTTGGCCAGCATTTCTTAACTCTGCACGATCAGCTCAGGGGTTCCCAAAGTGGGGGTCACGACCCAGATGATTACAAAATAAAAATAGAAAATAAAATAAAAAACCCCTAGCTCACACAGTACAGTGTGTGTGGAGGATGTGAGGAAACATTTTGACTGTATTTGCCCCTGACTGTATTTGTATGACTGTGCCTTTTTTAAATTCAAGTGAATTACTCATGAGTACATTTTGTGCCTAACTGTGAGTCACATCCGTAATGACGGTGAAATGCTGCCTCTCAATCTTCATCCTTTGAATGGCTCAAAGATCCCGTCTCCTCGGCCAAAGACATAGAATACTGGGAAACTGAAGCCGAGTTTCAAATAGTAGCACAGCAAGGGATCCGACTGAGGTCACACAGAACCCTGCCATTTTTTATTTGCTGCCTATTCATCCAAAGGACCAAGACAAATAAATGCTGCCACTGAAGACACACATGTCAACGGAATGCAAATCATGCTGATTCCAGAGTGCCAGCCATGTTTCTTTATTAGATGGCGTCAGCTGTGTGTATATATTTTAAAAGGTTATTGATTGAGGTGACACCTTTATATCAACATAAAGGCTGCTTCTCCCTCTGTTTTAGAGTATAAGGCAGACCAAAGGCATTCAAATGAAAAATATCCTCAATTAGGATAAAGCCTATTGATGCTTTCTTTATACTGCTCTTACTGGAACACATTTTCTACATGTGCACCATTCCAAGCCTTATGGCTCAGTATCTGTATACAATGTTGCATAAATCCAAATGTAGTTCAAAATCAGGTCTGTAGGACACTTCCAAAACAACAAAGCTACGTTGGTAAAACACAAACGATTATAAATCATTTTTTTAGAATCCAACAAAGTATCTCAACACATCTTGGTCAGATTCTGGCTGCATATACATATCAAATATGTTGGTGCTAATCGGGTGTCCTTTTGCTAAATTGTGGTTGCGTTACTTTCGCAATTGTTATTTGAGTACTACTTAACAGTACACGAAACGATTCAAGAAGAGAAGTACTGCTTCATGTTGTTCTGCTGACGAGGCATTTTTTTAGACACTGACTGGATTTTAAACCCTAAAAGATCCAAGCCTCTTATCTCCTACACATTTCATCTAGGATTTAGATCAATCAAACCTCCACCCTAAATCTGCTTGAAAGAACAGATGTGTTTAATTTGGAATGCCATCCCAAAGTCGAATATCTTCAGCGGCAAAATAAAATCCAAATTAAATGTACATTTTAGAAATCCACCATGTCTAACCTTTGCAACTGTCACCTAGCAACAACAATGTGATGTCCCAACTGGAGCTTAGGAGCCTTAGTGTGATTCTCCTGATTTGATGTTCACATAAAATCCAGTTTAGCATCTGGGTTTGCATTTTAATAAAACCTTTCTACGTTGGCTATTCATAAGTTACTTTATTTGTTCTTTAAATTATTAATGTTATCTGGGGTTGCCAAGTTCTGTATTTAGGGAGTATTTTGGGTCAAGCTTTAATGTCTATGACCTTAGCGATCAGTGTAATAAGTACATTACATAATATATGTTCAGCGTTTGGCCATTAGAAATAGAGCTTTTAAAACAAAGCAATGGGAATGGCTTGTGTTCCTTTGTTGTTAATAGTGCTCAGTTTTCTTATTCATGGGCTAATACCTCAATTTAGTATTGTGACTTATTTGCTGCCCTGAGCCTTTGGATTTAAGTCTGTATATATCCAAGTTTTATTGTCTGACGGAACACGCACAGATATCTGTCAGGATGGATATACATCTTCACAAAATGCCTTGACTCTCTAGCACATAGAAGGTCAGTCGCTGGCTAATTCAGCCACTGCCCAAAAATGATTGCTCCTTTACCTTGAGCTGGCACAAAGCCCTGCCAAGGTTAATGCTGTGTGCAGTAATTGTTCTGGACCTCTCTCCTGACAAATCTGCCCAGAGTGAGAGACATTCTCGTCGACTCCTGCATCGCTTATGGCTGTGTGGAGGCACTCATGAATAAGGCATGTGTGGCTTGGAAACATGCAACATATTTGGTAGCCACCTGTCTTCGAGCATTCTGTGCTGCAAAGTGCTCGTCCCTATGTGGCTTACACCCATTTGGAGGCCTGCAGCTGTCACCAGACCCGAAGTCTCCCCGGTTTCTACTCCGTGTGCAAATCCACTACAAAATGCCTCAAGGGTTTCTTCCTGTCAGGACTCTTTTTGTCTTTATCTGTCCACTCTTTGTGCTTTTCCCTATCGTTACATGGCGACCTACACAGCTGGTGAAGGTGAAGAAAATGAGCAGCTGGCACTTAATATCTCTGGGCTAAAGCAAAGGATATTTTTAGGAAGGGAACAAGTGGTTAGGGAGAAATCAGTGGTTGTTGGGTTTTTGCATTGTAATGTGAAGTGTTTATATCGTGTCAAACTACAACACTATACTAGCAACACTCTATTAAACAGACTCATGCTGAGTCTTTTTCCCAGAAACGCATCACAATGCCTCTAGCTCTGTCTCCAGGGGTTTACTGGTCCCAGGAGAGCTTCCAGCCTGTGCTCTGAAGCGTGGCCTCTTCCACTTGGACCCTGACTAGCTTTACGGCAGAGCAGCAGAGGCAGTGCAAGAGAGGGGAAGGGTTGGTGAGGGAGAGAAAGGGAGAGAACAGTACACAAAATTCCATCTGTTCTGGGTTGGATTGCTCATTTTTTAGCCTGGAGAGAGCAGCTTTGAATCCAATTTGTACCTCTCGCCAACTGTGTCCCAGAGTCCCTTGTGGGGACAGAAAAACCCTCGCAAATGGCTGACAAGCTTAACAGTGGGTCAGGTCAGGGCCAGACTGACCTGTGTTGGGACGGGCTTTGCTTGGCTCCAAAATGGTCAACGATGGATGTTTAACATTACCACAATGACCAGCCTTTAAATGGAATTGTAATCTCATCCGTCTACTTTCAATTATCTCCTTTTATTCTTTGGCTCTCTGTCTTTTGTCTGTTCTTGGACGAAAATAACCATACAAATGTTGAGCTACTGTCTTTAACGGTTTAAAGGGCAACCAACTATTCTCCTGGTAGACATCACGACAGAACGCACTGAAACCAGTCGGGTTTACGTCTTATCCTTTAATTAAACCTCTTGAAACTGCTTTAATAGAAGGTTCTGGGTAGATTGAACTGCTCATTTCCATTGTGATAGAAAACATATGGCACTGGTAAGCACTACAACATGATTGCCTACGAGGCCATCTTGTTGTAGTGCTTACAGGGTTTCTTCACAAATTATGAAAATATGAATAAAAAATAATGCTGCATGTTTCTTAAAGACATTTCACCAATGTATTATATCAATCGTATGCTGAAAACATGTGGGATAAAATGTGTATAACACCTGATTTTGATAGCGGGGTTATTGTGCTACAAAGAGTCTTTAAGGACGGCCCTCTAAGTGTGTGTGTGTACACATGTATTTCTGTGATGATTCCCTGAACTATTCCCATAAATCACGCTTCTCTATCCATCCTTGGCTCCGACTGAAAAATTGAATAAAGTCCTTCCAAAACAAACAGCCGCTTCATAACTGAGATGGTGCTCCTTCATATTGGATGAGATCAGAAACATTGACTGATCTTTCCACTTTTTTTCTCCCCAGGGGGAAAGGTCCACTGAAGAATACGTCTGATGTCATCAGTGCTGCCAAGAAAATTGCAGAGGCAGGATCACGAATGGACAAGCTGGGCCGCACCATCGCTGACAATGTAAGTCGCTAATGAACCTCCGTCTCAAAGGGTTTCATGCACACTACACCTTTGTGCTAGGGACTCCAATATATAATTGGAATTGTGCTACGTCGACACTGCCGGGCCACGATAAATTAGCAACAAGTGCGGCAACACATGGCACAAATGAAAGAAAAGTACTCATTTTTGTGGATGACATAACGCTAATGGCATGACCATTGCAAAATTAAAAAGGCATGAAAGATGTTACATTTGGAGCTACAAATTAAGTGATTTTCTTCTTGAAATATTTTCCAGCATCATATTAAATATATTTCACTGGTATGAATTGTCCATGAATGTGCTCAAAGAATCAGACAGATGTGTAATTGCTGTGTTGGACGATACATTGTTTATATGTCCCTAATCCTCCTCCTTTCAGCACAAATTACAACTGCATTTCATCATTCTGATAGTCACTAATTGACCCCAAAGTTACATTCATTATCTACTAAGTCATAAATGTTCCGACTACTGTACGCAAGTTGACAGCATGTGTAGAGTTGAGTAAAGTTTTTCATTACACAAATGCACAACTCGTTCTCCGCTCCTGTGTTGCTGAAGGAACTGACATTGTTGCGTGCTGTTGTGCTCGCGCAGGGTTTAAAAAAGCAAAGCTTTCATACTGATTGCATCTTGACACGGCTTCCTTTTGGTTTTTAAATGTTGTCCTTAACAGCGCTGCGTGTAAGTCACATTTAAAGACTCAGAGTAGGAGGAAACCTTTGTCCTGTGCTCATTACTTAAAGAGTTGTATACAAACATATAAAAAACACCCTCAGTGCTCACTTTTGCCCATATGCCTTATATCACATTTTTTCTCATTTGCTCGTTTAGGAGCACATTCAAGTAAAAGTCCCACACAGCAGGGCCCTTCAGATGTTAACAACTGTCATGGTCTGTGTTATTCATGAGAAACACCCCCACAAGTCTTTGCCAATTTCTTTCAGGATCAAACATTCTCCCCCCCCCCCTCTCTCTCTAATTCTACCATCTCCCACTCCCCAATTCCCGATTCCATCATCTCTCCACATCTATCCCTTACCCTAGTGACTAGGGTCCTTGACATTGGGAAACACACATTCAATTATCCATGGCCTCATATTTCACTTAAATACTTGCACTGTACCTCTCCTCAGGGAGTCACTGTACATGATTTATCCCCCCAACTTATTCATTTGCCATCTCTTAGGCAGAGAATGATGGCCCCCGTGTCTGCAATATGTATACATTTTAGTGTTAAATCATGGAAGAGTTAAGTTGTGATGTTTGCAACAAGACATGGTTGTCAGATTGAGGTCTTCTCTCGTAAAGACATTGGTTTCTTCTGTGGTTTAGATGTAGCAGCTGTGGGTTTCTTTCATTTTTATCCGAGAACACACAGTCGCTCAGAAAAGCACACACTGGCTTTAGATGTTTGCTGTAGGATTCCAGTTTTGATAACATTGGCGGCCTTGTCGCACTCTTTTGCTCTGGTTGTATTGACATATCCACTGATATGTTGGCAAAACGTTGAAACGGCATGAAAAGTCTTTGTCAAAGTCAAGTCTAGTGTTTCAGGGCTGACTACAACATATGGATTTGTAATGCTATGCTTGGGTCATTAGCGAATCTGTTTGAACCTATTTAGCAGCGTAATTGAATGTGTCTCCAAACAGTCCATTCGTAGATGATGTAGTTTTACATCATAGCTTTTTTTCCCTACCGGCTGTTTGTGTGATGAGCAGAGGTGTGTGGAGGCTGCTGCAGCACTTGTGAAATCAATTCTGACATTTGCAACAAACAAAAAAACATTCCATGGTTATAAAACATTTTTATTCCATAACTTATCACATTAAAACAAACATTTGAGATGTATCAAGAACCTTTGTCTTTTTGATACATGACAAGGGAATTCAATTATGCCAACACGTCATGGAAAGATCTGCATTTATATCTCTCGCTCTCATAGTCTCACATAATGAGCTGCTGGCTTCCAAGAGCCCTGCACGTTTTACCTTTTATTTATGGTGACCTCGGATCTTTAATATTGCAGGAGTACGTCGATCACAAAGTAAAACTCTTATCTGTTGTGACCTAATTGCATCTGAATAATCTGAACAGGGAATAAGCCGTTCTGGAAACTGACTTTTTGTATGCCTCACTGCCGCTTTTCAAGATGCTTATTCACTTTAATGAAAACAGTGTTATCCCCTAAAGAAAACAGATGGGCAACTGTGCAGGTGTGTGCGTGTGTGTTTGTATGTGTGTATGCCTACACAGGAATACGTCTGTTGACTGGCCTGCCTCTCCACAAGCGTGTAGTGTATGGAGTGATGTTGGATTTGTCTGTGTGTATGTTTGTTTGTGTGTTTTTGTGTACACTATTTGGGGTTTTTGAAGCACTCAAAGTTTGAATAAATAAAGAGCTTTGGCTGTTGGAACAGAAGTCTTTGCCAGGAGAGAGGACCCCTCCAGCCTCTGAACCCATCCAGCTGTCCCTCTTAGCCTTCGCTCTAAGCAGAGCCACTAGCAGAGCAGGCGACACTCACCCGGAACACATCAGCCACGGCTCCCAGGGATGGACATTGAGCGGGGAGAAGAATGATGGAGAGATAGGAGAGGTAGAAAGAAGGGGGAAGTGTGTTTGTGTTGAGAACAGAACATCCCTCCTGAGAAATGCATCCATTAAGAGTGCTTCACCTTTTAATTAGCAGTTTAATTGCCAGGTGGCAAAAAAAAAATGTATTTATTTACCCAGGCAGTTTATATTAAGGGCTATATCTCTAACAAAGCAGGATATGCCACAGGCCCTCCTACAGCAAAGGCATTGCATGTTGGAATGGTCTACTCCAGCAGCAGTAGTTAAGGGAATCAGCACCAAGCTGCACACACACTGACAGTCAGAGCAGCAAAGGCAATGCTGGGTCTGCTCATTAACCTAGGCATATTAATCGCTTGTGCTCTGTGCCTCTGCCTGGAGGGCCTATGAGGGTTTAGTCCTCATATAAAACACATCAGCAGATGGTCCCAGACTGATAGCACAGCATCTCAACACACATTTGCCTGCGCAATACCGTGTCATGACATGTTTTCTTACAGGCAGATTGTGTTCAACTGGGATGTTTAGGTGGACAGGGTCTGGTATGGAGTTTCTGAAAAACAGTTAAATATGTGTAATAGAGCCTTATTAAAGTTTAAAGAAATAAGTGTAGTGCAGAGATGAGCTGCAGGATTTAGGTCAGTGCCGTTCAAAGGTCTGCACTGCAGTTTATTAAGAATTTATGACCCTCCTCTGCAGGGCACCTTATGAGAATTCCATCTGAGCAGGCTGGTAAACAAATAATGCTATGTAATTGAGATTTATAATGCAAATGTGTTAGCCACTATGTTAGCCCATAAATTTCTGCTGCTTGCCTGCTCACCACATAAACACTTGCATGCACACATACAAACACATGCACATAAAATAAGGCTTGCATATTTAGAGAATGGGCATGTGCTTGCTGTGTGTGTGTTTGTTGTGCAAGCTTTCTTCTCATGATGTATACTGACATACATAGTGTACTTTTCCAATTTGCATTCAATCAGTGGAGATTTATGGTGATCCATGGGCTCTGTTGCTGGTCACAGTCTAATCCCGGCTCTGGCCCTAGACGCTCTACGGCAGACAGGGCTGTAAATTACCTACTGCAGTGGAGGAGCAAAATTACCCCGATAGCCTACAAATTCTCAGCTCAGCAGTTCAAGGGTCAGCCCTCCGCCAACTGTAGTTCAGCCCAACCGAGGGAAGCCCACCTTGTGTGCTGTTTGAGAAAATGTATCAACTCCTGATTGATCAATTAGAAAGGCATTTACCAACGATAATTCAGTATTTTAATGATATGTCAATCCTGAAGGTCCAACATAGAGTTCGTATCAGTGTGGTTGTGAAATAGCGTATAACTGTTGAATTCATTGTTTTGTGCCGCCTTAGTTTAAGTCAACCTGCAGTAGCATTTCTGATGCTGTGAAGCAGTCGGGAATCAAGTGAGCCAAAAAGCAGTCAAGGGTCAGGCCAAATAAAAGTCTGAATGAATGTATAAATGTTTTAGCATGCCTGTTAGCACTTAGTCTACGGTAGCAGCCGTGTTAAGTTATAAGTTTTGCTTACAAGTACAACAGTGAAACGCCTGACTGACAGGTGCAGTATGACCATTAAAAAATGATGAGGGACATTTAATTGGTCCCTCTGGTTACCTCCAAAGTCGGTCTTTTTGGCGTGCCCCCAGCTTGATTTTCTCCTGTCATACCCAGACTCTGTCTGCTTCAGTGTCACATTAACATTCCCGAGTGCCACTGTGATTGAATTGGCCCCACGGAAATATGCAGCATCTTTTTAGCAGATGCAGTGCGGAGAGAGGTCTGGCCATCATCATTCTGTTGAAATGGATCTTGATTGATATTGGTAAACCATGGCAGATTTATATTTAGCCATCAACGGTAACATAATCAGCACCAGACAGACTAAATCTAATGTACAGCACATTAACTGTAATGCCCATTAATTAGGCTGTGCACAACAAACACCAGCACACTCAACTTCTTCAGAGTTCTGAAAGGAAGTTCAAGGTTTGATCCAGCGGTAAAACAGTTTCCACATTTTATATTCTGTTATAAAAATGTTCTTGTTTTATAGTGTGTTCATTTTGAAGCGTGGCGGGATTAAAGGTTGGAATAGTTTCCTATCCCTGCATTGCCCATCCTCTTCTTCAGTTTCTGCCTAAAGTAACAGACTGGTCTTTCCAGTGCTTTGTTTTCCGTATCTCTTCAAACCTTTCCTTATATCTGTCACACTATTTTGACCATTGGCACTCGCCACACTGTAACCTATATACGTATATCTCTGCGTCCCTGCAACCCCTGTGGCAGTTTAGAGGTGTAATGGCAGATAAAGGTTCCCTGTGGCTTAACCTAAAGCTCTTTTCTCAGGCACTGTAGATTATCCACAACCCTGTACC